AATTAAGTATATAACTGTTGATATGTAGAGCTCTGCATTGATCTTGGGACTGGCTATCTTAAAGACTGCTCTTCTGTTTTTGTTCTGGCTTGACAATTGACCAGCTAGCTCTGCCAGATTTAAACGTATGAAGTTTCATTTCAGGGATTTCTCAGTGCAGCAGTCATTTTTACTGTTGAGCCAACAAAGCCTCAATAACAAATTAAGTATATAACTGTTGATATGTAGAGCTCTGCATTGATCTTGGGACTGGCTATCTTAAAGACTGCTCTTCTGTTTTTGTTCTGGCTTGACAATTGACCAGCTAGCTCTGCCAGATTTAAACGTATGAAGTTTCATTTCAGGGATTTCTCAGTGCAGCAGTCATTTTTACTGTTGAGCCAACAAAGCCTCAATAACATGGTGGCCCAGATTCTTTTTAAACTACAGGGCATTAAGTCCATAATCTGGTGACTAATGTGCAGCCCTGTGCTTTCAGGGAGCTCCTGGCTGGCACAGACATGTCTCGACTAGGTCCTCCACCTGTAGCACTTTCCCTTCTTGGTATGGGGGAAAAGTTGATGGTGTGACACAGCAGAGTTCATTTATGCTTATCCTCCACTAGCAAAGGACCCATTCAAAATCCTATGCTAGTTGCTGCTGAATGTCATGTTAGATCTGGAGCTAGCTCAGAGAATCACTAAGCCATAACTGGACTGCTTTCCACCTCTCTCTTGCTCTGCATGTTGCTCTAGTTTAGGATACAGTTTAGTCTAGTATCTCATATATTAATGGATTTTGTTTGTGTCACCTAGGGATTTCTTTAGGGTAGTAGATTTTTAAAATATGATTAAATATTTTATAGAGTATTGAAAAATTATATTTCCAATAAGTAAGCTCTGCGTTATGTCTGTCACTACAAAAAAATAAATACATTGATCTTGTACAACCTTTGCAGCCCTGGAAGACCTGTTGACAACTTCCCAAGAGCTTGAGGGTTGTACCTAATTTACATATAAATGTAATTTTTAATCAGAAACA